GACCTTAACGTACTGCGATATATTGCGTGCCTCACTTATCGATTAAGCTATGCTTGGTGGTGCTTTTTGCACCTTCAGAGACTATCGTGCCAGATTAGTCAGTATTTAGAGGCCAAAGTCAGTCTCCTGACCCTTTATATTGGGGGTTAGTCCAATGCCAAATCTCCGCTGCCTTCGGTACTGTTATTGAATCCAAAGCTTTAATTGAGAACCCTAATCGTTCTTATGTCTAGGCCTTACCAACCTGACAGTATTCTGCTCACGTAATACACCACCATGATTATTCTTTCTAACAATCTCTTGATGCTGTGGCAGTCGCAGAGCATAATCAACTGTGCCCTATATGCTGCATCGAGCAGAGTGGATAGGGTTTTGAATGCTACTGCTTAGGCGTTCCCGTCTTTTTATTCCCTCTGTTGCGCTTTTTTATCGTTAGCGTACCGTTTCATCTTCACCTTCATCCCCCTTTTTCAATCCCCCAATTCTTGGCCCACCTCTACCTTGCTTCAATAGTCGCTTGTCTTCTAGTTTCAACTCACACACAATCCCGTGGTGTCACTTCACTCCAGTGGACAAGTCCATGTTCAACCAAGCAGACAACGTCACTTCATGCGTTTCTCTTTGGAGTCCGCGATCTGACATGCCACAACGTGCGCACTTTGATACCGATTGGCTAACAGGCAGCACTTGCCCGAACACTCGAGACCCTATCGATTGATAAATGCTATTTATCAGGAATCCGTCTACAAGATTCGAGCTCCGTGATTATCCTGCCATCCCCCACATGCGACTCCGGCTTCACATTCTCATTGCGTCTGTCTGGAGATGACGCAGCTTCTCCTACCGATCAAGCTGGCGTCGGCATAGTTTGGAGCCTCTGGGCTGAAGCTGCCTTGCTCGACTGAATCCTTGTCAACAGCCGGATATGCGCCATTAGATTAACTGGTTCGTCCCAGGCTTCGAAGTCGCTCGGGGAAAGCGATGCATGTTTGTCTTTGCAGCCTACGCCCCCACAACTTACACCACTGATTTGGTGAAAGGTTATTTCTATCACCGACTTAACAATCTCCTTCGTTATAGGAAATGCACGGATACTGTGTTGCTGGCTGGTGATCTAAACGCCCAAGTCGGAAAATTGTCCTTTGATTAGATTCTACTGGGGCGGCCGACGTTATGTTAGCTCCCTTATTGATAACGATGAGCGTTTGCTGCACCTATGTGAACATGCCCGTCTCATTCTCGCGAGCACTATCTTTCGACAGAGCACCCACAGAATAGTGACTTGACGCCCACCAGCCATGGGTCGGAACGACTACCCACTTTGTAAATGGGAGTTATTATTTCGAGTTTCCACTATGCAGGAACGTGCCGCTCGTCAAGGCATTGCTAGAACAACCGCGCCAGGTGTTCAGCCAAAGTATTAGCCACCACAGCTAGCGTCCTTGGGCGGATGTCATCAATTCCTGGGCAGGCATACAGGGGCATGGATAGCAGCTTTCTCATCACGATGTCTGCATTAAAATTTAAATGGGTGAGTCCTGGTGTAGGCGCTATAGATTCCAAAGATTCAGGAGATCACGTGGTGCAATGAAAGGTTGGTACATGTTGCTGTTGCAAAACCTTCGACGCTTTATCAATCCGAGTAAGACCATCCGCTGTTTGAAGAGGGGGAATCCACTTTTTACCTTTACGGAGACTGTTTACCTGCTCGTACAGAAACTTAGGATTTGAAGTTAATCGCTCGCTTAAAGCATGCTAATAAACTACTTTGTCCTCGCGCACTGGCACAGTGGTTACGGTGGACAACATATGCCTTCCACGTACTCGGATCGGATCTTACAGCATGAATCGTCCATCCGTGATCGACCTGCAGGTGACTTGAAGTGGCAGTCTCGATTTGCATCCCGTGACCTCTATCTACTTTCCCAGGACTGAAGTCGGAGTCCGAGTTGTTCTGCATTAAACCAAATGTCCTATATTTCTTTCTGTCGAAGTGGTTAGTATATTGAATCAGTGTCGACGCGCATGCTGATTGTGTTTTTCGTTGCGAACCAAGCTTTCGAGAATTCCCCTTCTTTTCTTGTTTCACCCCGTGCCAAGACTTCTGATTTGCTCCAATCGAAGCTATGTCCTTCATTTATGCGCAATAACATTAACGATGATGCATAGTGCCTCACACAGACTCTTTATGTTCTTGTAATCTCCTTGCCAGTTTTCTTCCCGTTTGGCCAACATAATCCCTTTCGCAATCTCGGCAATGTATTTTGTATACCATATTGCATTGTTCATGCGCCTGCAGTTTTTCTTTTGGTTTTGACAGAGTTTTGCTCAACGAGGCAGTTGGTTTGTGTGCTACGATGAGATGATGCTATTTCAATAGTCTGACTGCCATTTCATATAAGGCGGAACAACCCGTCCCTGCTGTTGTTGTTGTTGTTGTTGTTGTTGTTGTTGTTGTTGTTGTTGTAGGCTGTCTGTTTACGTTGTGATTCCGACACCTTCGGATGAAGCTTCGTGGGTATCCGTTGAGTTGGAAACATTTAAATAGGTGCTTTTCTTCCTTTTGCTTTATTTCTGTGGTGCTGCAGTGTGTTTGTACTCTGCGAAACAGTGTCTCACACAGCTTACTTTGTGGCACTTTGGGTGGTTGCTGTTAACGTTCAGAATTTGGTTTTCAACCAAAGCCTTTGATCCAGCTGGCTGCTCGCAAGGCAGCGAGAAGATAGCAGCGGTCTGGCTTTACATAAATCGACGCCATCTCAAGTCCCAATCTGGTGGGCCATGCGGTTGAATTTGTCTGACTGTTAAACATTGACCAATCTGGTAAGGATATCTCTCATTAGGCCCGAGGGAACCTATCAGTATCTCCTGGTGAGTCGTATAGGTACGCAAATTGTTGCACTGCGTTAAGGTCAAGATACGTCGCTACGACGCCAACTGTCCATAACCAGGTATTTTGCGTGGTTTTCAAGCTTGCGTAATGTTGTTGTGACCTCCGTGTGCATTATAGATCACTTCCAGTCTTTTTTTACTTGCGACTTCATCACATGGTTCTGCAGCCGCATGCATCGCTTATTTCCCCCGTTATGGAAACATAGAATGTCACTTGTTCCGGTTATTTGTGTAGTGACAGCAGCTGCATTATGCTCGTCTTGTGGAAACTTGACGAATCACCTCAGCGGGATTGTCATCGCTCCGGTGACACCTCTACTGAATCTATTTGATCGATCGCACCAAACGTAAAGCTGCCTAGTAATTCAGTCGACTGAACTGTCTGTGGTAGGAGGATCGAGACGTTAGGTTCTTTCACGCTAACCATTTGCGACTTCTTTATTTCTCATCTCGTAATTGTGGGCGACGAAACTAGACTTTGCTCACCCACCCTAGTATACATCTTTGTCTTATAGTCCCGACAATTTCGCTTACCCACCTCTGTAAATCATTTCGTAATGTCAACGATATAACTGTTTACTTTCTCTGTCTTCGCATACATTAACTCTACCTTTTTTGATTGCTGCAGTTATAACTGCTGCGTCTTTTGCCATTGGTTCAACTGTTCTGTTTACCCACGTTATCCCATAATCACACCACTTATGAGGTCTCTAAAACGCCGAATAATTTAGATTCCAAATCCCCTACCCCCAGTTTTTTTAACATTTTGTTCCTTATGTGATGATCTCTTGAAAGTTGCCATATTTTCTATGCTTTATCTGCGCCACCTGTGGCGCTCTGAAGGGCAGAGTTTATATTGCACCCGTCCGTTCAACCCTTCTGTATGGTTGCGAAACCTGTCCCATTATATCAGCCAACATAAAAAGCTAGTTACGTCTGACCATCACAACCTTTGAAGCTTAACTCATATCTGGTGGGAGCACCGCGTGAGTAATGAGCGCGTATTGGGTACAGGAAGAGCGAATGGACCGCTCAGTACCGTTATTTCTCCCACCAGGCTCCGATGGCTGGGCCACGTGTTGCACATGCCAGCACGCCAACTCCCTCATCATGCGTTGTGTGCGCGCCCGTGGTCTGAATAAAAAAGGATGATGAGTGGCCAAGCGATGACTTGACGTCTGTTGGTGTTCCCGACTGCTGGGCTGGAGCCCGAAGGACGATTAACACGTTTATTTGGGTACACTAATTGACATGGCAATCAGCCGACCTTAGTGGCGTTTGTGTTGTAAGTCTCTTTGTCCCTCTCCTCTCCCTTAGCTCCCTTCTGCAACAACGATCTCGTACCCCACGCGTAATATGCTATTTGGCATTATGTTGCTTTTTTGTAGCCTCTTTAGTCTATCATCTAATCGCTTATCATTTTGTATGGTGGCACATTAGCTGAAGTGTGTTTCTCACCCTCGGTTAACGTGCATTGATGCTGACTATGCTCTAAAGATTCAGTGTTTTGCCATGCCTTGTCGACCGAACGATTGTCTACTGTGATTGAGTGACATTCTATATTTTGCCTTCCCTTGAATGCGCGACTAATGGATAGTATGCTTCATCGCGTACACCACTCTAACCTACATACTAGATATTTGCCGTTTCAAGTCAATTTCTACATGGCTAGATATTACCACGAGTCTAGTGTGGTATTGGCTCCCATTAGCCTCCGCTTTGGCCGACGATCATAGACCTCTCGGTTGAGTGAGGTCTCCTCCACCCCACGCGTTACAGACTGCTCAGTGGCATTCATTGTGGTGATATCTGATTTTCCCACACTGTGGATTACCACGCTTTGCTCACGTTGGCTCGCACTGTCCACGCACTCAAAACCCCATTTGCTTCGCGAATGTATTTGGCCCCTTGGCCCACGTCTTTTTCCTTCACACTGTCTCTTATCGACCAAGTGCTGGCTCCTCCCTGCTTCATTATGTCATTTTTTCGCACACCAATTCTTGCTAATGATGTTTCACTCCTATACTCGTTCTCAATTGTCTGTTTCTCTCGTTTTCTTTGGTTCGCCTAATCCTGATACCACCACACATTTCCCATCTTTTTCGCAGGAGTTCATCTTCATACGTCTCAACGTGCTTCGTGAGTATCTCAATCAAGACCTGAAGTTAACGGGACTGTCCTTCGAATGGGATTTAGAGCGTGTGATTGATGATTGGGTGTTTATGTGTTTCTTCGTCGGAAATGACTTTCTTCCTCATCTGCCCAGCTTAGAAATCCGTGAAGGCGCTATTGATCGCCTGATTGAGTTATATAAATCCGCAGTTCGCACTACAGGTGGCTGGCTCACTGATAGTGGGAAAGTGCATATGCAACGCGTTCAGCTGATCTTGGTGGAACTGGGCAAGATGGAGGATGAGATCTTCAAAAGCAGACGCAAATCTGAGGTGAATTTTCGAAAACGCAAACGATCCAGCTCGTCCCGTGAGCCTAGTCAAAGTCCGCAACGGATGGATCGCCAGGCCCAATGGCATGCGGCTCCAGATTCGGGTATTCTGAAGCCTGTAGCGCTGCGTTCACCTTATGGGGTTGCGCATCCCCAGGGCCGTTTCCAAGGTGCCAATGTGACTGCCGGACAGATGCACCAGGCTAGGCAATTTCGCATGCATAGTCCATCTAATGTGGACTGGGTGGATCGGAACTTGAACAATTTGGAGGCTGCTACGGCAATGAAAGCAATGCTCAAACCTCGTCGATCAGGCGAAAAAAGCGCACCTGGTGGCCCCGTGAGTTCGTCTCCGAACGGCCTGCCCTACGATGCGGTCCATGATGACGGCCCCTCTTCACCTCGTAAAGCACGATTGGATGTTACCCACAAAAAGGGCCGTTTAGGCGGTGTCGGTGCTGACGAGTTAAAGAAAAAATTACCGAAAGACGTGGAATACGATGAGGATGATCTAGCCGATGCTAACGATGAGGTGCGGCTCTGGGAAGATGGTTGGCGCTCACGTTATTATCAATCAAAATTTGGAGTGGATCCGGCCGATGCACCTTTATTTTGCATTGAAGTTGGCAAAGAGTATGCACGTGGGTTATGTTGGGTACTGGCGTATTACTATCAAGGATGTGCATCTTGGGACTGGTACTATCCTTATCATTACGCTCCTTTTGCCAGTGATTTTGTTGGTATTAGTGATCTAGATCCTGGTTTTTCCGAGGTAAAGACTCAGCCATTTCGACCACTGGAACAACTGATGGCTGTTTTTCCTGCCGACTCACGCGATCATGTACCTCCAGCTTGGCAGGATCTGATGACAGATCCAGACTCGCCAATTATCGATTTTTACCCTACCGATTTCAAGGTTGATCTGAACGGGAAGCGCTATCTGTGGATGGGTGTTGCATTGCTGCCATTTGTCGATGAGACACGCCTTTTAAAAGTGTTGGATTCCAGGCGACACTTGCTCACAGAAGAAGAGTTGGAACGCAACATTCGTGGTCCTGATCGCCTGTTTTGCCGGGCTGACCACCCCCTCTCTCCGTTGCTGGAATCATTGTACAAGAAGGGGAAGACACACGTTGCAAACGACGACAAGCTGGTTCAACTTTCAACTACGGTTGTTGACCCTCGGCTTACAAAAGGTGTTAGCGGTCAGGTTTGGCCAGATTACAAATTCGCCTACTTGCCTGGAGAACGCGTCCCAAGCGGAGTACCATCATTACTGCCTGACTTGAGAGTTTCCCAAGCGATCTCAGTTTGCTTTTCGGATCCCCAGTATCCAGACGGTTTCGTTTTCCGGGCGCAGCTACTCAAGTCGGTGAGTCACTCCCATTAGTTTACCTGCTTTGTGCCAGAGCGTCTGCGCCATCTTGTAGACATTGTGCGCTCTATTCAAGGTATGTTAATCCGCATGTCGTGGCGCATAGTAAGATAGGCATTGTAGTTGAGTCCAGTGCTCACACATCATCCGACAATCGCACAATAGCCGGTATCGGAGGTTGTGATTTACATGTCATCTTATCTGTTACTTTTTGTGCACGCCTAATCGGTACACAGATTTTCACTGAGTCGTATTGTTTCGCAACACCCCCTGTAAGTTATTACACTTGTTACACTACCTTGGCCCGCCACAATCCTCTGCTTCCACGCATTAATCGAAAGCAGCATAAGAGTGAAACGTCACTACGATACCTGGATTCATACAACTCTCAAACTGCGGCGATCGAAACGGATCTTAGATCACCGTTGCCCGTACTTTTAAGGATCACAAGTTTGCCCTGTAATCCGAGTGCGTGGGTTGGGGCTTGAGCAAGGAATAAGGCCTTCCTTGCACTATCCTTAACCCACCCGCGGATGATGGCGGTTGCTCGGCAGCGAAGCGTCGGTACTGCATGCCGGCGTATTTATGATGCCTTATTAAGCCACCTATTTGGTACGGTGACTACTACGTGACTGGCATCATTTTCAAAGCCAGCTGACGTTTCAACCCTGATTCTCGTTTGACACTGCCCTACACCGCTTCTTAGCACGTGCAATCGCATCGACACAGGCCTCCACAAAACGGTTCACAGCTGCTTGACCGAGATGGTTTTGCCGGACATTGTTTCCATCCGAATTTCTTAACTAATCTATTCACTTGGATCAGGCGATTGCTCAAAGCAACCCGTTCACTCAGTATGTTGGTTACGGATGCCGCTCTTCCAAGAGGCTGGGTGATTTTTTCCTCTGGGTCACAATTAAACACTGATAATTGGAGGGGTCATCTGACGCACACAACGTATCATCATTGCTGTACAACCACAACGACCTACAGAACGAAGAATAATAAGTTGGAGATAAGAGGAGTTACCTAGCGTAAACCTAGTTGCCCTAAGCAAATTTTCAGGGTTAAGGCACCTGCGCCTACTCAACAACATACCGTCGCACACAATTAGCTATCGTGCAAAAATAAGGCAACATCAGCGAGACAACTTTCTTGCGGCTTTCATTGCCTCGTGGCATAATCATCCGCAGATAACTCGGCGCCAAACGCACTTTACACAGACAGTCCGAGTAGCAGACGACAGTCGACTGTGAGCTATGTCATGTAACGCCCTATGCCAAGCACAAGGCCAGCCATGTGGACTCTAGCCGACAAGACTAGACAGATGAACGGCACCGAGTTTGATCGTCAGGGACTTCATTTCTCGCAGCCAGTGTTTGTCTCAAAATTGCGACACTCGGCTTCAGTTCGTGCCACAACTCACGTTGAAGTAAATCTCGTCCGATTCGGTCCTTGGGACCATATCCGAATTACATAACTAAGTGGTGTTACCCACTCACAACACTATCGGCGATTGGTTGTCTCCTCCTTAGCGACGCTGTGTTAGAGTATAACTATCCGACCACTGAATTGTAGGGAACTTCACGCGTCCACGGAACTCTATCCAGCGATCTCACCATGACAAGGGTATTTCGGGACCTGTTGCGGTCTCTTCTTAAGCCTTATTTTTCTTTATGGTCCTGTATCACTGTTCCTTTTATGACTACTGGCGGCGGGCAGTCCATACCTCAGGTTGCATTTCACTTATCGGTGATTCTAGTCAAGTCCAGATTGTTTTTTATTCACCCATGAATAATGAATGTTCCGCTATAACGCACACGCCAAGGACCGTAATAAATAATGCAACACGATGTTACATGAGGATATGTAATCGAAAAAGTCGACAGAGCTAATCTCACTGAAGTAATTTACTAACCGGTTCTTGAGTGACTGATTTTTGGTCAGTCAAAAAATGTTTCAAGCAAGGAATTACTAACGTACCCGATAGGCTGCTGTGCAGCTCTGTCTGGTCGATGAAGTTGATACATGTTCGGATAATGCCCCATGCGTGCGGTGGCTAACATCAATGAATATCTTAGATGCTAACCTGTTACAGGAATTGACGATGCGTTGAAATGCCGGTACACCGAAATAGATGTTTCACGGAGCTGATCCTTACTCAGGAGGCTAGGACAAATCACGGATCAATAGATCAAAATGTACAGAAGTTCTGAGACGTTTAAGAGTTTAATTCCCCTAAGTTTATTGTTTGCCTTGCGTTCGCGTGAAGGGACACGTAGGTCCACTGATGTATCGGTCCTAGGTATTTTGCAGATGCAAAATTGCGGACATTGCCCTAGTATTTATTGGTAGCAATTTTCTTTGAACAGCGAAATATTAAGTCTCTACATGTTGCGGTGTTTAACGGTAGGCAACGAGGTTTGGACCAATCTGAGATTGTCTAGGAGGGTTTTTAGTTTGTCCATTGCTTCTTTGTTTGGATGATAGGCGTAAGTTTCTGGGATAAGGCTTGTGCTAACGTAAGTGGAAAGTACGGATGGGGACAAACTGGCTCCCTGATGGACACCAGCATTCATGGTGAGTGAAGAGGAGTTTTTCCTCAAAACCTGGCCAACTGTGTAAAAATGTTAAAATGTAAATGTTAAAAAAATGTTAAAAATGTTAAATAAATAAAAAATAAAATAAAGATGTTAAAATAATTCTTCATCCTGATAACAAGTTTTAATTCCAGAAGCTAACAACAACAGTTCACGGTCCAAACATACGAAAGCGTTGCTACCATCCAGGGGTGCAGATACAGTGGGCTTGATTTTTATCCAATGATTATAGCGCAGTATGTACCACACTTGGAACTGTATCTGAGATGAACCTTGAGCTCTACGATATGCAAACTGGTGAGGGCCACCCAAATGTGTCGGGGGTGCCATTATTTTAAGAATACATCTTTCAAAAGCAATCGGCGTACAAGCGATTGGCTGATATTTTCAGGTTCCTTTCCTTGCCGTCGGCGTGATTGCTCTTTACCATCTGGAACCTAACTGGCGAGAGGCTGTCAGATAATCTGCACACTCTTCGAGTACGACAGGAGACAACCATGGTGATTTGTTCAGTATCAACCCGATTAATTCCCTGTGTACTTCTAGGCTGTTATCTTAGTCTACTTCTAACTCAGAAGGCGTTATATCGAAAACTGAAGTTCAGTTGTTCCACATCCAGAGTAGAATGCGTGACCTTGCGGGTGACTCCGCCTATTTGTTTCCTCAGTTTCCATATTTCTCGATGAAATTTGCTTCCAGGTATGATTTGAATGTGGACTTGATTGGGGCGATACATCCTGATTTTTGTATTACTCCATAGTGACTTTATTGATGTGTGATGTCTTTGCGTTTAAAAGCCTTGTCTTTGAACCTGCTCAGTCGTTTGAAACGGAACGGCAATCTATCTGCACAGATGAAGATTGTTTCAGCTGGGCAGCAGGTGTCGAAGCGGAAGTGATTAGTTAACTTGTCACAATACGTTCACATCGTACAATAAATTATAATCTGTGGAGGCAATAGTTTCATACAGTCGCTGAATGTTATGGGGATATATTATAATGTCCTGATCGCTACGATTGTCCTAGCCGGCAAACTACGGACCCCACGTAAACTTGTACTTCGAACGAGACAGAACACACTTGTCGGTAATCGTGAACTAAACAGTGGATACTGGCGCTGTGTACCGCTTACAACCCGCGCATCCAACCCCGAGAGGAGAGTAGACTGGCCTACAGCGTAACACTTTCACCACTTCGCTGCATAGCCTCGATTTTATGCCGAGACTGGCGACAAGGACTGCGGAAGCGGATACGAGGAAAAGGCGCCGAAAAAGGTCGTAATAATCGTGGGGGTGTATGTCACAATAGAATTTAATCGTAATGCGAGTGAAGTGTGTTGCTTGTCAGACATAAGCGTGGGTGTGTTTGGGTCGTCAACTCATATGTGTACGATGTCTGGGTCACGGCTTGCGCGATCATTTTTGAGACAAATGCTCATGAACTTTCGATCTTTTAAACGTATGTGATCTTTCTGGTTTGTCTTGCCATGCTAGCCCATGGCCGATTGGCAAGACGTCAGCATAGGTGCACCCCGGATGTCACGGATTTAAGCCTATTTAGAGGAGAGACTGATCCTAGCAGTATTCTTGGCCTATAACGCGACTGATGGTGGTTGCGTGACATCGAAGCGTCGGTACGGCATATTGATTCTTAGTATCTTTCTCTCTCATCTTGCGTATTCGGAGTCCCCAAACGACGCAGGATTTCACACAGGGTACACTTTCAGCATGTTTACAACTACCAAATCAAGAATTGCATCTAACCTGGTATTCGAAGACCGCAGCTGTAATTCCGTCGTAAAATTATTCGTCTACAAAGCTGGGGCAGCTGGGTGAAATATAGATATTAACCAATTAACTCGAACGATAGTGGTTAGTGTCTCTTGGTTTGAGAAAGATTCGAAAACAACCAGTTGGTATTGTTTGTGAACTTTTGATTCGACGCTTCGTCAGGCTCAGTTAACCGGTAGATGATTGCTATAGCCCTTACAACGAACTGGGAAGATAAACGCGACGAATGGAATGTAGGTAGCGGTTTTGTCGCTTTACAGGTTAAAGTATCCCTCCAAGTAGCGCATGAAACAGTCAGTGTTCCGCGTTACAAGGTCACACACGTAAGCCCCTTTCAGTGATGTGTGTGTGTGTGTGCGTGCGGATCTTGTGTTCACTCTATGCCCCTTCTACCTACATCCCATTCGTCGCGACTATCCTCTAAGTTCGCTATAAGTACTGCACCTAGAATCGATTGATTTATTCGGCTTGAGGAAACGTGTCATGAGACGTTGCGTACAAACCATACCAACCGGTTGTTTTAAAACCTTTCTGAAATCATGAGTTCTGGATCGGTTCCGAGCATTTTAATGGTGTTTAGTCCTGGTTTGCTTTTCACAATTAAACAGCTGCTCTTTTGCAAACTGTAGCGAAAATACTTTTGATCAACATGCACCATGAAGTACTGGTGTACATGATGATGTCACCTCCGCGGTTCTTCTATGTACATCCATAGTCAACACGATTAAAGCTAAAACAGTCGACTTCCACGATTACATCTTCAACACCTACGTAAAACCAGGTTTCTTGATGAATACTAATGCCCACGCGAGAAAATTCATGACATTCCATTACACTGTTGCGGTCTTCTCATTTTCCGATCGCGATGTTTGTTTCGCTTTTGCGCTTTTGCTTCCTTTTTCTTCTTCTTTTATTTCCAACAACCTGACCATGGTCAAGTACTGAATTTATCTGCGGGAAAGCACACACGCATTTCCAGGCGTAAACGGTCATGTCACCAGTTGCAGAGGAAATTATTGAAATGTTAAAGCACAAACCTCTGATGCTGTATAGCAAGGTAGATGTGTGTGTTAATGAATGTTTTAGATGGCAATTATAAAGCACGATCAGATTTGAACCGTCCTGACTTGGTGGGAGCGGCTTCACATCATCCCAACCCCCTGCAACTGATCGGCTTAGCATGACGCCAGTACGTGGCTCGGGACTACCACTGAAACTATCCTGACTACCATCTGTTTATTCTTGGGCACAGTGTTGTAACGCTGCCCTTTGCCTCTCTGTGCTCTCTGCGCTACCAACCAGCCGGGGAAAACAAAACGAAGAGCCTGCGGGACCGAAGTATATTAGGTACAGAACATGGCTATTTTTATAGGTCACATGCGCTTACCTCGCCGCTATCACTGAGGTGACTCACATCTCTTGTCTGAACAGATTCGGCTCTGGCAGCCGCCATCACTGTCTGACTGTAGGTAGGATCACGTCCGCGACATAGCAACCCGTTCGGCGATGACGGTCTGATTTTGTCAGCTTCCGGTTTGACCATGACAACCAGTCTGTCAGCTGCTCACGTGATCTGGCCGATCTCGCCCCGCTAGTGTGCACCATCGTAGTCAGCTGTTTCGCCTCCGTGACACACAGGCTTTTCCGAACGAACGGTCGATATACTTAGAACACGTGGATGCTTTAAATTCTCAGGTTTCGCGAATAGTATGTGAAAGCACTTATCAATTGATCTGCTTGTTGTCACATACTTTGGATCTTGGACATTTCCCTCGTTCACCGGACGATCACTTGAACTATTTGATTGGTGACTTATCTAGTGAACCACTTCTCGGAAAACGCTGTGCAACTTTTCGAAACATTGATCTACTAGAACGCTGTAGTCCGGTCGCTCTTACGTACGTGGCGGCGTGAAAGTAATGGCTATGTGGTTTCATTAATCAACTCACTGCCCCACCACAAAACAGGTTACAACACATTTTTCACATAGTTTTCTATCGCACGTTTTGGAAGCTTGACTTTTTTAAGGAACTTTTCACCTAGCATGCTAAAACACCTTTGTCCTCCGGATGTTCCTCTGACTGAGGCTGATGTGTACGATTTTCCCTGTTGCAGGTAACACTCCCTCCTCCCACTCATTTGCAACCACCCCAGCGTGGCCGTGGTAGGGGCTCTGGTCCTCACGGGGGTCGTGGATCGCTTTGTCGTTTTTACAGTGATACCGCGCTACAATATTGCGGACGTGATCCTTCTCCTGATGTACGTGGGGCCGATCGCAGAACATCGTCCGCAATGGAGCGAATAATCCGACAATCGCTTCCTCGACATGATCAACCATCTTCATATTCCTCTCCTTCTTCGGGCCAGCTTGGTTCTTACTCTTCATCTAATCGAGGTGTCTCTTCGTCCAGAGATGTTCATTATTCGCCCCAGCAGCGTTATGCTAACCCTGGATTTTCCAGATCCCCTGCTGACTTTTCCAACCCTTATCCTCATGGGCAGTACAGACCGGTCCAACCGAGTCGCTACCAGCAACCTGGATATCGCGCTCCTTTCCGGCCAGCCTGGAGGCAACCTCAGGGTCGTCGATAAACACGATCAATTTACCGTCGCTTCTGTCATTCGCGCAATGACAGATTTATGCAATTCGGCTGCATCCGAACTTCGGTTTGCACATTTGTGCGCCCATCTCTCACCGCTACTACATACACTTCTCAGACGCACCATATGTGTTTGAGAACGCGCGTGTACGTGTGTACTGTCCCCTCTAGCCCCCCCCCCCCCACTCTTCTTCACATTGGCCAATTACGTCGATGTGTACAGGTCTCTGCCTCTGTGTAAATGTCATCAGGTTTCATACGGTGTTACGTGTAGACCCATCCTTAGCGTTTGTTGGCTACCTCCGTTTCTGTAAACTGCGCCTTTTTTGTCACTTTGAATGAATGAAAATTACTCAAGGCATCCACTTACACTCAGGTCTTCAAGTTTAGCTGTGTAGTTTTGAACGTTCATACTATGCGTGCCGCTTGCATTTGTATTGATCTCTCCATCCGAATTACGCGCAAAATTTCAATGCGTCGTTATTCACTCCAAAGGGAAATTCGTTCCATTTAATCAGTAGGACTGGCTTTTCTCTGTGGTTCCTGTTTTGGATGAAGTGCTACACACAAACAGAGCTGCGATCACTTTGAATCTGTCGGTCGATTTTTTACGTTTTCCGTAAAATTGGGATATATATATATATATATATATATATATATATATATATATATATATATATATGAGCACGGGCAGATGCAAAAAGTCTGATTACATTGCTGACAAACCTTAGTCGGTATGTCTCGAAGTCGTCGATCATTCCGGTGTCTCCTGTGGTATCCAGTGTGACGAGTGAGACCAGTTGCTGTGATAAATGTTGCAATGCAAGTCGAATATGTGGAAATAACCATTTGAGTAGCAGGTTTTGATGATGAGGTGGAAGGGATTGTTGATCGTTAAAAGACGTCCAATAGTTGGTCTGTATGTAAACTAGGCCTGATTAGGTGAGCGAAAGTGGCGGGTAGCACGGCAGATAATGATGTTGGCTGTTGAATGTCTTCCATCAATTCCAACGGCAAGGTTGGCAAGTGGAATCAGTCTAGGCTTTTGGAAAAAGAAGGGTAAGAGGCAGGGAAAATTGGTCAGGATTGAGAAAATGATAAAAAAGCGATTAGTCATTGAAAATGAAAAACGATCCCCAAAATAAATGCAGCAACAATTCTGCAGTGAATGTGAGGATATAAACAAAATAGTCGCATGTACGGTACGTTTGGCGAGGTTGTGCTTGAATAACATCGCATAGGCAAATACGGAGTAGTTTTGTAATGCGTAGGGCGGCCATCTGTGGTTATCACAACCAACCTTAGTATATATGTAAATGAGTCATGAAAGATATGAGCATTTGGCTCCAGGAAAGAAACGCAAAGCAACAGAAAAGTATAGGTTCTAATGTTTCCATGCCCATCATTCATGATGTATTAGCTTGGTGAATAACCACTGAAAACAAGAGCTTATTCATTAACTGATTTTTTGTTGTCTATGCCTTGGATATTTAACAGCATCCGAGAATGCAACCGCATCATTAGCAACCTGTCTGTGCAAATTACGTAACAGGCAGCGCATCGCATATTTCGCCTCCAGACAACCGTCTCCGAATCCAACTTTGGACGTCTTTCTTCTTTGAGACTACTTGCAACAACATCAATCTCGAGCGAGATCTCTACCGCTTAGCAATGATTTTGTGTAGCGTTTTAAGTACCACCGATGCCACCGTCCACGACTGATAATCCCCTGAACGTTTCTGCCAAGCGCACTTTGGGCCATACTCACTGCACTTATTGCCTGCTGCAAAAGCATCAAGTTAGAAACCTGTATCAACACTTCCCAGTTTGATTGCCGTCGTGTTATCTGGTCCCGGAGCTGTGTTGCCATTCTCAAGGAGCATCTCACCTATCTCTGCCGTGCTAACTACTGCAGTTAGACTAGCCTTCATCACCCTGCCCCACGGGTCGGCCGATGGCCGAGTGGTCTGCGCACCTGGTTTGCATTATAAGTTCACTTGTTCGACTCCGCGTACGGGTGGGTGTCCTCGCGGTATAATCAGCCCGCGCGCAACTGGTGGTAGTCGCGCGACAGCGAGGCGCCGTTACGGCGTACAGCGGACATTATTTATTATTCCTACTAGACTGGATGATGTCCTTCTAGTACTCCAAACTTTCCGTACATATACCTCCAATTTATAAGCCTTTCTTTAAATCCATCCAACGAAATTTTGGAAACCATTTTTCGGCTTCTTCCGAAAAAGTGATTGGGCTTTTGCGTAATTCTCTTTTTAGCGCATCTGCACTGTCGGCTTGGCCAATTTCCTCTCATTCCGCACCCACTTTATTGGGAAGCTCTCCAGCAGAATAGCATCAAAACTGGCCTGATTCTTCCGAAAGTCAATCAGCCCATCCATCAGAAGGTCTTAATTCAGACATTTGTCCTCAGCTGCCACAAGCTTTTCAATAATGATATCCAAACATCAAGTCAAGCCACTCTCCTGTCCACTGGGTATAAACGTCTACGGCGAAGGTAGTACCAAATAAACCAACTTCACCAGCTAAGGAGCTCTCTCCTCCAGGGAGTTCAAGCTTCTCCCCACCCATCCAGAATAGAACCACCTGCAGCCAATCGGAAGGGGGGAGAATCCCACAGAGACGGAAAGCTTTTCACATTGCTAGATAAGTGCCGCAGTTGGTTTAGGTAGGACTTTCGTTTTCCCTCTCTTCATTACGATCTCACTGCTCTCCGGAACTCGTAGACCTTTCTTCTCATACTTCTTTAGGTTCCAACCGAACTTTCGTAGGTGCTTCTTGATAACTTATGCCCAGGCAGGACTGATTCCAACTTCACGTTTACTTGCCTTTTCTCCAGACGCTGCAAAAATCACAAGACTCCATGCTCCGTAGTTAGCATGCACTCACTCCCATCATTGACCCTTCCTCTTGAGCACATCTGCCAGACTTTTCTCAATGAGCTCCGCCGGGTGCCTATGCCGCTGCTGTTGCGCAATACCCGTTTTACTTTCAGAACACATTCCGAACATGCATACCCACTCAGAACTGACCACTCTCACTCTCTCCCTACCCAAGTCCACACATGATCTTTTTGTTTACGAAGTGGGAATTTCTGATAATCTTACTTTGTTTGGCAGGGGCAAACAGTATATCCATGCAGGAGCATCAGTCCAACATGAGTTGTCTTGACTTTGAGCGGAGCACACCCAACTCTAAATCTTCACCAACATCTCAGCACCAATATTTTCAACTATACGATCGTGCGTCTCAACCAAATTCATTGTACGCACATTGGGCCTCGACTCACGGTAGGTTATAGTCTAGGCGCATGAACACATGCAGCCACAGATCCGACACACACGTCCCACGGAAGGTCAAGCCGAAGCGTCAGCGAACCAGGTGACGCGCACAAGGGTTTTCGTGCATAAGCATTCCAGACCGAGACGGGTGCGACATATGACACATCTAACCCCTGCCTCATTACGACCGTTATAAACTAAGCGCATGCTATAGCAATGGGTACGGTCCGTCAGGAACTAGGCAAAGCCTTACCGAGCACCAGAGGGTATTACTCGCGGAAACTCAGAGGAATATGGATGGCGGCATCCGACGGAAGTGTTAAATGATGCATGACAGATTGGACACACGTAACTTGCTTTTCGGTCAGCATGCAGTGAAAGCGCAAAGGACGGCGTTGAAGAATGTTGATTGGCGTCCATCGCGTGGTCCACGATAATATTAACTGGTGAGTTTGGGGTGGTAGCAAGCGCGGGGATATTTGGAACAGGTGTATAATGCGGCTGTAACAATGGCGGAAGCATAAACTAAAGGAACGTTGGTGTAGACAAAAGTCATTGAAATGTCCAAACTGCGGATGAGGGAGGTTGGATGAAACAATGGTGTATTACGGGTAAAAAAGCAATGCTTAACGAGTCCCGTGGGATGGAAATTATTGCGCAAAGTAAATTGCATGATAAAGTAAGATGCGTTTTGGTGGACTCAACATAGACTTATGTAGAATAGCGAGGATGTTCGCATGTTAAAAGTATAAACCTATAAATCCATTGCTTTGAAGTATGGTAAAACACCGTTTGATTGCGTTTTGTAGCCCCTGTATAACAATTCGTAAAAAGAAATGCAAATTGGACAATGCATCGCTAACTCGTTTTTTTAATATTGCCAGATTGAGAACAAAGACGACATAATTAGGGAGCGCGTTCCAAGACTGGCACACGCCGAGGGAAACGAAATTTCTACGACATTCGTGCCGGCTATATTGTATCTTCAGTTTCAGAGGGTGACCTCTTAGTTTAGTGTTGTGGTTCAATTCCAGCAGCGAACGGCAAATGTGCTTTGGGTTCTTCAGAATCTGGTAAAGCATTATGAGATCTCCCCGCAAAAGCCGATATCGACTGCTGTACATTCTTAGAGATTTCAGTCTAAGCTGATAGAGTATATGAAAGCGTCCCCTGACGTTTTTAGTTGCCCTTCGTTGAGCAGTCTCGAGAGCAGCGAGATTCTGTTTCTGTCACGGTTGGCACGCCTGAAAAGCATATTCCACGTGCGGTCGCACTTAGGCGTTAAGCATTTGGGGAAAGATGGATGGTTCAAACCGACCGAAGGCTCTGCGAATCAGGCCGATGTGTTGATTGCCGGTTCTCGTCGCTGGTACGCTGTTCCATGAAAGTTTATGAGATGGTATGTTGAGTAGATATAAAGTAAATCGATCGGCTCAGACCGCCAAAGCAGATAAATACAGTATCGAAAATTGCCAAGAGAAAGCGACCGCTACTTAGGAACATGTAAGTAGGATAATTAGAAGCGAAATAATTGTTCGAAAGAAGCTAAATTTGACCGTAGCATACAAACAGAAGGATGTCTAAGAGTTGGAAGAATAACCCCTTCGTACACGTACAAAAAGATTTTATCCGAAGTTATTTTTCATGTTGTTAATGATATACTTGCTCTTATAACATAGTTGACGAAGGATTTCGG